ACCATGACAAGGGCTCAATGACTATCTCCCCTAATGCCAGATCATTCTGCCACTGGCCTGAGACAAAAATCAGGTCCAGCGTGTGTCCACCCGTGTGAGTGGGGGCCTGTATTAATTGGGTCAAGTCCAAGGCCGTCATGGAAGCCAAGAACTCCTGAGCTGCCGCTGACGTCTCCCCCACTGATGGCAGGTTGAAATCTGTATGAAATGAATGGAAAATACCATACAAAGTTAGGTGTTATTGCTATGCAAATAACAGCTAGTACTGTATTGGTTTTTAATTTTTTTTACCCTTTTACCATATCAAAGTATGAAGTTTTAATACTTATCTAAGAGTGATGGAGATTAAATGTGCTTTAAGATCAGTCTAGATCAGGGGTCTGCAACCTTGACAACTTTAAGACTTGTGGACTTCAGCTCCCAAAATTCCTCTGGGAGCTGAAGTCCACAAGTTTTAAAGTTGTCAAGGTTGCAGACCCCTGGTCTAGATCAAATAGAACTAATTGTAATGCTAGAGATGTACTTATTCAAGATCCAGTCCATCCCTCCAGAAGGAGCCATGTTTAGTTCAGTTTAATGGTTTAATGGTTCAGTTTAAGTTTAGCATTTGTCAACGCTGTTTATCTTCTAAACTAAACTTCTAAACCGACCAGTTTATCTTCTAAAATTAGTCCATTACAATGCAGTCTATGCAGGTAGTCTCTGAAGAGAGTACAGAAAATTCAGTTACTGCAGGATGTGTGGCTTTCCTATTCTAGTCCATCAGTTCCTTAGAAGCATCTGCACTAAACAATCAGGTACTTCTCAAGCCAAGTCAAAGCATTCAGGTTTAGTAAGTGGCTTCTCTTTGGGAAGTCTCAGCATGTCCCCTTCCAGCACATCTTTTGATGAGACTTTGTTCCACCTTAGGGAAGAGCTTGGTCTAATAACCTCGACATTAGCAAACTCCTTTTACAGTGAATATTCAGCCAAGCCCTTCTTTTTGACTCCCACAAACAAGTGAATATCCTTTTCTTTCAGTATTCATTCTGTTCCACTTTTTATGCTTTACTTTGAATTGTGCTGTTGAACTCTGTTCTTACTTTTTGTTGGTGGTGGGTTTATTTTTTTTTTCCTCGAAGCAAATTAATGTAATGTTGGAAATCACTATAAAGCTTGCTATTGAAATGTTCTTAGTAAATATGGAAAGGGGCTCTAAGATAGGTTGGAGTGAGACAAGTAAACTCTTATACTCTCTAGAAAGAAATGCAGAGATTTGATTGCCAAACCAGCCAGATTACATAGAAGCTACAAAGTGTGATGCTGAGGCTTATTTCCCGCAATATGGCATGCAGAAGGAATAAGAATGGAGCTCAAGGCTAAAGCTTTATAACTTGAGCTTTGAGTGGCTGAGAAAGTATTGAAACCAGCATAAGCCATCTCTGAAATGATTACCAAAATAGATATTCCATCTACTGCTTCTCTGTTGTGTAAAATAAGGTACATAAGAAAAGAAAGTGGCATTTATATTCCAGGGAATGTGAAACTCTTTTACAAACTCAACTTTAAATTACTTGGGGGGGAGGGAAGAATGAGCGAGCCACATGCAACCACTGGAGAAGTATTCTCAGCATTTCTTCATAGTACATGCTTAAAGTGAACACGATTAATTTGACATAATGAGCCATGGTGGCGCAGCGGTTAGAATGCAGTACTGCAGGCTAACTCACTGCTCACTCCAGGAGTTCAATTCTGAGAGGCTCAAGGTTGACTCAGCCTTCCATCCTTCTGAGGTCGGTAAAATGAGGACCCAGATTTTGTGGGGCAATATGCTGACTCTGTAAACCTCTTAGAGAGGACTGTAAAGCACTATGAAGTGTTATATAAGTCTAAGTGCTATTGCCGTAATGCAGATGGTTGCTGTTTCTTAGCATGCTGTTTTCACTGATTTTGCATACATTTTTCTCTCTTAGCTTCAGATATCATGGCTCCTCCAAGGCAAATTGCTTGGAGATGTCTCCTTTGTCCTTGTTGAGAACAAGACTGGAAAAGAGCAGAGCAGAAAGCTCTGGCACTTGAATGACCAGAAAGGATTGGGAGTATGGCAAAAGATGATCAGACCTCTCCCTGACGTTTTTGACAGGTAGGATATATCATGCTTCTTCATATGTCATTTGACTGAATGAATTCTTGACTGACTGAAACTGCTGATAAGCAATGACAACCAGTTAAGCTTTTCTCATTTAAATTCAGATTTAAACTTTTTTTTTATTATTTGAAAGCAGTGTGGTTTTTAAGAAAAGCAAATTTCATCTACTTTGGCTTGGTTGTCCAATATTTAATGGGATCAACACAATCATAGACAGGAAATATAACTTTTCCTCTACAGCCATTGTTCTTAGAACAATTCCTTTTCCTCTCTCGCATCAGACATACTTGCCCATAGCTCATTCTTTATTTGTTCTTGCTGCCTGCTGATAATGAATGCCTGGAGTTTCTTTTTGAGGCAGTGACTGGTTTCATGATGATTCAGTTCAAAACTGCTTCCTTGACCCCAGACTTAATATAGGCAGTCACTTCAGGAGATAGGCTTAGTATCTTTCTAGCATACGATGCCCCTCTGGAGTGTCTTACAAAAGATAAGTTTTCTTCTGCCTTGCACAGGTTTTTAAATGGATTGAAATCATAGACATACTGTAGCAGAAATGAAGTAGATATTATTTTGATCACAGAATGAATACAAGAGACTTAAAAGCTTTAGCCACTGGGGTCTCCGCTAAATATGGCACTAGAGAGCCCCCAAGGCACATGTCACACAATTCACCAGTGTGTCAATGCTCAAATCTACACAAATACATCCTCTTTTATAAAATAAAGACACAAGCTCTTAATTGTTACTCAGAAAATATTGCTGCTTTAAAATAATAACATAAGCAGATCTAAGCATACTTCAGAGTAAATGTTGCTAGGCCTGCATGATAAAAACCTTTTACAGAACATTTAATATTAATCCTTGGGAATCCAAAACAGCTAACTCTGTACCTTGTTCAGGATACAAAAGTCTTCCACAAACACCATCTGTTGTGTTTGCCCACAACACCATCACTAAATGAAAATCAAACCCCAATCTACTTTTTAAAAAATCTGGTGTTCTCCTCCTCTCTCATCTTAGGGACATTTTCATCTCTCCTCCCCAAGTGTCTGAGGAGAGGGAAAGCTTGGCTGAAATGTTCAACACTGCTGTTGTTCCTTATTTTTTGAGTGGTTAAGTATTCCAGGAACAGCTTCATGGGAATCTAAGGATTTAATGTCTGTTTTATTTATAAATTATAAATTTAACAGCTGAGAAGAAATGGCTGGGAAGAAATACTATATCCTTCAAATCATTTTGTAAGGACTAAAGTTGAAGAGATGGGGACTAATAGTTCTCATACTAGAAAAAACTGTCATTGTATATAATTTCCACCGAAGACCAAGAATGTAAACTAAAATAGATGATAGAGGAGGGATGAGGGAGGGAGGGAAGGAGGGATAGGAGGGATGGATAGATAGATAGATAGATAGATAGATAGATAGATAGATAGATAGATAGATAGATAGACAGACAGACAGACAGACAGACAGACAGACAGACAGACAGACAGACACACACACACACACACACAGAGAGAGAGAGAGAGAGAGAGAGAGAGAGAGAGAGAGAGAGAGAGATGATATAGAAGAATGAATATGTGTTTTTCTGTGATTTGTAGGAGACACATATTGCACAGCTTCTATTTTGTCTGCATTAAAACAACTTATCTAGCTGTCTTGCATCTGTGAACTTCTCTTGCAGCAAATTCCTGAATACTAGATGAAATATCTGAGAATCAAGATGTATTGCCTTGCCTGTCGTGAAGTCTAATACAGATTTACTGGCTCTGTACCCCATGAGATTTTACTTTCAGTAGATTCATGGCTATTTTGGTCTTTTTATGCTCCGTGCTTTTTCTCCCAAATTTGCATTTCTCTTTCCCTTTCTGGTAAGATTTGACAGATAATTCGAACATAAGATTCTTTCAATGAATCAGATATCTTTCTCCTTCCATCTCTCACTGATGCTAATAATTGATGTAGTTAAGATATAGCAGTGGAGTAAGTCTACTTTCAGCCTCTGAAGTTTATTGGATTACACTGTGCCAGCCACTTTCTCTGCACCACAAGGTTGTTATGAGGAAAAATCAGAGAAAAGAATATTATGACAACTAATGAGCTAATTGAACAATCTGATTATGTGTTATCAATTTGGTTCAAACTCCTAGAGACAAAATAGATAGACCTTCCCTAGGATTACTTCTCCACATTCTGCCCCTTCAGGTCTCCAGTGATGTACTAATGTCATAGTAATTGGGTCCACATTCACCTTGCTGCTCTTTTTTATTTCACCTTTCTCAGCGTTATAGGCTTCTCAAGAGAGCAGGTCTTCACATAATATGTCCAGCATATGACAATATGGGTCTGGTCATTTGTGCCTCAAGTGAGAATTGAAGAAAGGTGGATAGAAATCTAATAAATAAAAATAAGTAAATAATATTCACCAATTTCTCCATAAAAGAAAAGGGTTTTAGAAATCACAGAAGGATTTATTTGTCTCACGAACAACTCTATATTCCTAGTTGTCTTCCCCAATGCTAACCTAAAAATATGGGAAAGTTCTGAGTGCTTAAGCCTTTGCTGCAAATAATATATTTATTGTTTGTGTCTCAGCCTTAACACTTTCATTCATGTTAAAAACAATGCATATAATTTTAAGGGTACCTTGGTGGAGATACTATGCCGAAAATGTATTTCATCTTCCTGACTCTTGAAATAGCATAGCATAGTGTGGGTTAATACAAAAAGCATTCTATTGTGTATATGAAATTAATGTACGATATAAAACTATCAGCATTGCCTCCGTTTGCTGTTCTTTGTTGTCTTTGCCCTCCATAATAAGATGTACTGGCTTCATTTCTTTTAGTTATCTTCCATTTTTCAGTAGCTTTTTTGAATTCATTTGTCTAGCATCATTTATGTGTTGCCAAGGTAACAATTTCCCCCCTAAACCCTATCCATTCTCATATACTTCATTTGTGAGGCTCCATTCTGATTCTCAGATTCTGTGCTGCTTTCCTTCTAACTATTTGCATGGTCAAATGCAAATTTATTCATCTTTGGCATATTATCATATAGATGCTGTTTCATATTTATCTTTTTCTTAGAAACTTTATATGGTCTATGGAGAGCTCTAAAACAATCTTCAGCATTCAAAACAAGCTCTTTGAAGGAATTCTGGAATTTGGGAAGCAATCCACAGAACCATTTTATCAAGAATGGTATAAACATGATATTAAAATGCATGGAAAAATAAAATCAAGAAATCTTACAGTAAAACTATTGGGTTTTTTCCCTTTCCTCCTCCACTTAACTACACCTGCATAGGTGCATACATTTACTTATATTTATTTAGACATTTTTAACAGTCTCATGGACTCTCATGACTTAGAAACAGATTATAAAATTATCAGTATGGATCTTACACCCATAAAATACTATAATTCTTTTTCCAAACCAAACACAACTAGGGATGATTTCAGAGAATAGCCATGCCATTTTCTTGCAATGATTTGCCAATACTTTTGCTTTATTTCTGGATATATTTTTTTTAAAAATCCCCATCTAACCTGCAGCCTAGATTTCTCATCTAGATACTAGTTTGTGGAAAAGAATTCACCTCTTCTTGGTTTTCCTCAAGTTTTACATATATTTGTCACAAACAGTTATTAGAATTTAGTCTAATATATAATCTATTCTATACAGTCAGTTAGTTCAGTTAAACTAAGGGTAGTCATAGGAATATTCCATTCATCAATAGAGGCTGATTTTGGCCGGCCCTGTGCTATATATATATCATAAATATTGGGTCCCTTATCACAATTTTCACCATAACAATATAAGAAAGATCTTATGCTTCCTCAAAATAATTTACTAGTGACCTGAATTCATTGTTTGTTATAATTCTAGACAAAGTTACAAAATCATTTCTAAAGTTTTGGATTCCCACTAGTCCACTATCTGATTCATAGTCTTGAAATGGACATTTGGAGGGGATGCAAATCTTCCTGAAATTATCTTATCAAAAAGGACAAAGAAATTACAGAATTTTATGAGATATGGGACATGTATTACAATTGGTTAGAACTGAGGAATAAAAAAGTATTAGAAGTAATGTAAATAAATGTAAGAGATATAGGACATAGTATTGTTAAGAAAAAAGAAAAAATGTACTTTGTATTTTGTTGTTTGTAAAGAGAAAAAGGGAAAAAAATAAAAAAAGAGAGAGAGCAAGATAAAATTTTCCAGGGGGTTGCAAAATATTTTAACATTGGGCATATAGAAGGATATTTTTAAACAATAGACTCAGAAGTTAATTTTAAGAGTATCTGCCTCTATAGATAGATTGTGTTTAAAAGATGTTATGGAAGATGAACTGATTTTATATGACAAAATTGAGGTTGAATTGAAAGTGGAGTTTAAAATGACAGACAATAAGAATGACATGGAAAAAATGTTACACTGGATATACAAAAGAAACTAGCTAATGTCTTAATAATAAAAAGGGATATACAAATAACTAAGTGGATAATTTCCCTATATTGGATTTACAAAAGAGGTATATTGAAGTTTTGAAGAATTTTGTGAGAGAGGACAAAGAAAAGGTGAAAAGAAATCAAGTTCTTGGACATTATTTAAAAATTAAAGATCAAGATTGTTAGAAACAAAAGGAAGTAATATTAAGTTGTTTATCTGATCAAGGTTAAAATACATACGTTGTTATCTCTGTTAACTACTATGAACTTTTGCTGACATCAGGATTGAAATGACAAGGCTTTAAGAATTTATTTATAAATCAGAGATGGGAAATAGGAAGAAGTGATTAATTCTTGAATTTTAAGGGAAGGTGATAAATTACAAAAAATGTTTAAACTTATTGATGAAAGAGAGAACCATTTCTTTATATATTTTTTCCTTTACTCTGTTATTTTTTCTTTCTTTTTTGTTGATGAATTGAAGCTGAAGTAGAAGTAGGTCATGAAGCAAGATAGTGATACCAAATATGCAAGT